GGACTGAAATGGTTTTTATCAAAATATTGAAATATTTGCTTACAGTTAACAACGCAACGCTATCAGCTACCACGGTGGGATTTTCCGCTATACGTCGGTCGTTACAGTTCGTCCGACAGTTGGTGCACCGAGCGCATGTGAGATTAACATTTAGGGGAATATTCCATTACATGAAATTATAATTTGTATATTCACATAATAGTCACGATAGTAGTTTACGTTGGCGTTCTATGACTGGTATGTATAGCATGCTGCTGTGTTTGGTATAGTGAGTGTAGAGAATCGGAGACCCATTTACTGGAATCGAGGCATTCTATCTTAGTCCTCAGGGGTGACAACGCATTTGCATTTTGATTCTTAATCGAGGAAATATAGAACTCTATGGTCCACAGCATCAACTTTAACCCGTTTATCATCCTTATTCTTTAAAAATAATATACACATTCTGAAAGCGGATAGCTTTCATCTTCCCGCTAAGAAAATTGAAAATTTTCAAAAATATGGAAGTTATTGTTTTCACCCGATTTTCGAATATCGAGTTTTCATCAGATTTCGACGTTTTGATATCCCAGGAAGCTATTCTGACTAATTTTACGTGGACGTCCGTACGGATGTATGTATATGTATGTGTGTGTATAAGTATGTAAACATTCCATAACTTTTGAACGTCTTGATTGGTTGAGATGCAGTTTGCGACGTTCTAAAGATCTCAATGTGGAATAGATTTGGTGATAATATAAACTGATTCGGACAAGTAAAATAAAAAAAAATTAAAACAATTTTTTTGGAATAACTTTTAAACGGCTTTACCGATCGATTTCAAAAACTAAACTAATCCAATGCCGTTTGGAAAATAAAAATCGATTCATGCGTTCGTGAGATATCGAAAGAGAAAGAATATGGAAAAAAACGTTATTTTAACATATTTTCGAGATTTCGCAACATAATTTGGTGAAATTTGTAGCGCTTTGCATTTGAAATTAGCGGGAAGTTCCAGGGATGGCCTGTAGGGTCAACCAATTTTTTAAGATGTGATGTGCACCTTTAAAATTGTTGAACCGACATTAGGTGTATTACATCATGCATAATTAGGAAAACGAATGTGTGTTTGATTTAAAGTTAACGTGAAATTAAAGTAGGTAAAGTAATCCCCATAAACTATCCCGTAAAAGACTCCGGGGCCTATCTTTTCTTTTAAATACCTGCATCTCTTATTTTCATGACATTCTATATTTGAATGTTAAAATGAAACAAGAGATTGACTGCAGCATCTTGTTCATAACAACGCAAAATAATAAAAACTACGTTTGCCAACCCGCTCGCCAAGCTTGGCAACTATGGCAAAATTTTCGAATAGGCTATTTATTAGGACGGCGTTTATTCAGCAGTGCACTTTTACATGATGTAATGTATGTGGGATGGATACGGTATTTATAACCACAATAAAAAACAACTAAAACTTACGAGCAAAACCCGAACTATCCCACAGTGCCGCTCCCCGCGGTGCAGCACCTGTCTGTTAATATTTAGCTCTGCAGCGTATTCCTTTTTAGAATTATAGGCTGTGACCAAGAAGGTTCCAGAAGTATCTCACATTATTAGAATAATAATTTACACATAGACATAAAGACGTCGACTATTGCAAGCAGGCGTTGGTGGATCGCAATTTACGGTGAATATCGTGCCAACTAGAGCCCTCAGTTTTACAACTACGACTTACAAATTTATTTATTTTATTCTTAATTGCACCAAAGATCCTCTACCAGCTAACCTTGGGTAGAACATTTACACGAGGTATATTTAAGGAAACTATTATGTAGTTCAATAATTTAAAAAACGATCTACGATTTTTTAAAAGTACAAGTAGTATTAAGTAGTACGTATAAGTATAACACACGTCTCTTTTATTTTTTTTTATACATTGAGGGTGACAAATGAGCACACAGCCCACCCGATGGCAAGTGTTTTTTTATAGAATATGATTCATAGACATCTACGTCAATTCTCAAAAAATAATCAAAATACAGATGCGTTGTCACCCCTGAGGACTAAGATAGAATGCCTCGATTCTAGTAAAAAAGGTCTCCAGTTCTCTACACTCACCAAAAGACTAATATGTAACGCCTGGTTTCTAGTAAAAACATTCTCCGGTTCTTCACACTCACCAATCATCATACAGAATACAGCAGCATAAAGCTGCTGTATCCTTGATTATTTTGTGAGAATAACAACCATAATATAGCCTTAGATTATTTATAAGAATATGGCCTCAGCGCGGCTCTACCACACACACACACACACACACACACACACAAAAAAAATATACAATACAATATACATATATATATATATATATATATATATATATATATATATATATATATACTCGTTTAGCTCGATAGACACAATAGATAATAATGATAATATATTCAAATTAAAAACTAAATGTGATCTATATATTATAAGAAGATTTTGTCGATGACTAGTCTCAAGGTCGCTTCTGCCAGCCCTATGTGTAAATATGCACGCGTTTACGATGCAAACAAGCGCACACTCCAGATGAGTTGCCCTGCTCCCTCCGCTGGCGGTTATTTTATCACGCACAGAGATTGGGACGAGTGAGTCACCAACGCTTGAGAGCATGTTTATAGCAAAATATTACTGCTGTTTTTTGTGAGTGTTTGTATGTGTACAGATAATTAATAGGCATATTTACAAAAGCAAGGCACGGGAATTGTACGAGAAAATAACGCAACCTGATGTTATCTTAATATTAACCATTAATATTTGTTTAAACCACGGAAACTTTTAAAGCAAGTATATTTGTCGAATATCGCTTGGCTCGGCTTTCTTCTATAAACTAGGGGCGACAATGAAATTTTCGGGAATCTAGGAAGTGACACAACATTAGTATTTAAAAATGTATTTATTGCTTTTCGAAGTATTCTCTGCGAAATTTGACACATTTTTCCATACGATGGAACCAATAATTGAAGCAACCGGATTCCCAATTCGGAAGTTGGGGTCTCCCAAATGGCCGTTTTGTAGGCGTACAGCTTCTTCAGGTGATGAAAATCTTTGTCCACGCAATTTATTCTTTATTTTAGGGAAAGTATAGAAATCATTAGGGCTTAGGTCGGGGCTGTACTGCGGATGGTATAATAATTCTATATTTTCTTGCTCTAAAAACTCTTTTGTTCTGTGTGCGGTGTGAGAACTCGCATTGTCGTGATGGAGGATGATGCGGCGGTTGCAGTTCTCTTTACGGAGTTCAGACGCGACCTGTGGCAAACAAATGCTAGCATACCATTCTGCATTAACCGTTCTTAGTCCCTCAAGAGGAATAGTCGTCACATGTCCGGTTTTGGAGACAAACGTGGCCACCATTTTTTTTTGTAACACTCTGTGAACGAACAATTTTTGTTGGCTTTAACTCATTTTCGAATACCCAAACTCGTGACTGGTTTTTTGTTTCGGGTTCGTACGCGTATATCCAGGATTTATCACCTGATACGATGTTGTATACAGCATTTGAGAATCCTGCGTGGAATCTTTCGAGAATTCTGACGCACCAAGTAACGCGAGCCGCTTTTTGCTATTCACAGAGCGAATGCGGTATCCATCGGGAAAACAACTTTTATACACCTAATTGTTCATGCAAGATTAATTGTATTTGACTCATGCCAATGTCTAAAGTTGCCTGAATTTCGCGGTATGTAACATGTCGATCTTTCTCAATCAGCTTACGCACAGCATCAACGTTTTCTTGCGTGACTGCATTTTTTGGACGACCTTGACGGGGATCATCACTGAGCTTGACACGTCCACGTTGAAATTAATCAAACCAGCGATAAATTGTGGTTTTGGTTGGGGCTTCATCACCAAATGCAGAAATCATCCGGTCAACACAATGTTTTTGTGTTAAACCACTTCGAAAGTCATAATAAATCATCGCTCTTGAATTTTCTCTATTCAATTTTGTTTCTTCAACGACTGAACAAGTTTGACAAAACCTTGTAACAAAACCGAGAATCTTTTTTAAATACTTAAATAAATAAATGGTATTCGATTTTTAAAACCAAGGAGTTTTCAATTAAAAAGATTTTAATATGACAGGAACAGTGGAAATATTCCATTCCCGATACTTTTAGTGCAGCCTAGTATGTCTTAGCACCTTGGAGTTGGACCAAAAAACTCAAAGCTTAGCACGAACTTCAGTGTGAAATTATTTTATTCTACTAGTTCTTTGAAGTGGGCTTTTACATCTTATTAAAATAAAAATATTCAAGTAAAACTGACAAATTACTGTACAGTCTACATTATGCTTAAGTAGACGCTAAGGTTTATAGAGATCTAAATCTGTTCTGTGTTTGATTAAGAAAGAAAATGTTGGTGCGTTGTCACCATTTTACCAGTAAAAAGCAGCGTGGTTCTGACGGGTATAAACTTATGTAATGCCTATGCAATAAGGTAGGTAGGCCTAAACACAGTGTTATTGTGCAAATGTTGATGTTGTCTTTGATTGAAGTTAAATGAGTGCCTTGGTACGATTTTGCCATTTTGGTGATTATAAATTATTAGAATTACAAAAAACATAAGGCAGTTGTGGATTGCTCTCCAGCAGAGTGCAATACTTGGCAGAGCCCCGCTGCAGCTATATTACGGTTGTAGCACGCTCTCACAGAATACCAGCGTAAAACAGCAGCTTAATACTGCTGTGTTTCGTTTCGTATGGTGAGTGTAGAGATCCGGAGACACTTTTTTATTGAAAACGAGTCATTCCAACTTAGTCATCATGGTTGACAACGCATCCGCATTTTGATTCTTAATCAACGATAAATAGTATAGATGTCTATGGGCCACAGCATCCACCAATCGTCAGATGGACTGTGTGCTCGTTTGTTACCTTTATTCTATAAAAAAGAGCTAGACAATGAGTCTCATTGTGTCAGAAGGTGTCAGAAGCTAGCAGCGAAGAGAAGTATGTGTGGCGCACTCACGTCCAGGTCGCGGAAGACGATGGGCGGGTCGCGGCTGTGGCGGCGCTGCTCGTCCTGGTCGCCGGGCTCGGCGCGCGAGCTGGGCCCCGCACGCGCCCTCTCCACGCTTTCCACAGTCTCCACAGCCTCCACAGCTTCCGCCATCTCTGCAACACCACCGTGACTCACTACACGAACTCCACCATCTCTTTATCTTAGCTAATTCCTTTGCTTATCTTCATCAGCAGTCAGCATGTTACACTCCACTGCTCAACATGGGTCTCTCCCTAGTATTATGCCGTATTATTTTTAAACTGAAGGTAGCCGTGGTTAACTATGACTACATTAACTGTCAAACAACTCAGTCGCCCCATGACCATGGCTGCTGTACAGCATTCGAAACTTCGAGAATATAAAATAAGTTAATAAACGAGATAAAATAAGTAAAACTATTTACTCAAATGTATAGCGTTCGCGTAAACATACGATATACTCGTAATTACGAGCCTCTTCTGTAGGAGTTGATTGATAACCGTAGTACCAGATGTTTTTGACGCTCCGATTGCGGATCTCAATTCTGGCATAAAAGTGTTGATATATAACCGTGTAGTGACGGTGTTACGATATCCACTGCCCCACATCGTCCCGCGCGCGTCGCAAGCGTCGACAGACGGAAACTAAAAGAATTCAAAATAAAAGAATCTGTGCTTGCCAAACCGCGTGCCAAGCGTGGAAACTATTGCCAAATCCTGCCTATGAGACAATCACTGGTGGATATGTTGAGAAAGAGATTACGCTTATATTAATATATATTAAGATGAGCCTCTTGCAATCGACTGATGGAGGAAAACTCGTTAAACATAGCTGAATCCGAAACTTAATGACTGTTGACAGCGCATTGAAAAGCTATACAGCAACTTTACCAATGCGCTTTTATAGTTTTAATGCTTACGAGTACCAACCCGCTTGTCCAGCGTGGTTTGTCAATGAGCATGCGCATTGCTTCAAGCTTAAACGAATTAGCCAGCTGCACTACTTGGGTATTGCAGCTGGCGCATTCTTGGATATGTGCGTCTAGCAGTGGCCCTAAAGACTGTTCTTGATGATCAATATTTAAAATTATAAAGCTAAAGCTTATAAGGCTAACTTAAGGAAAGTCTCACATAGGTGATATTTGTTATTATTTCAGGGATATAAATTTAGAAAATCTTCTTTAAAAATTGTCACAGCCTACCCAAGTCAAAGTTAAAATCAATTTTAAGCAGCAAATCTAGATTAGATTTCTGTGCATAGAACAGTAATTTGTATACAAAGCATCCGCCATGTAAAACTTTTTGCAGGACCGTTCTAATGATCATTGACAACTTCAACTTTTAGTACTATTTCACGAACATTTAAGGTAATTTTTCGCAAGTTTTATCACTATAATCTAAGTAAATTTCTTCACTACTGGGTATATAAGACAACTTAAAGTCGCACGGCTAACTATTGAAAGAACGCCCGGAGTTTCTCTGCGTCAGACGGCATCACCACTAGATATATAGATGATATGGTAAGACATCCAACGTCGGTGGTTCAGGATCGCGCTTTGTGGCATATTTGGCTAATGATGATGATGATGATGACGATGAAAGAAAGTAAAAAAAAACTTGCAAAAGCAAATATATTTTCAACTAAGCAAATCTCTTTTTTAACTGTTATAAGAGGCGATGCAGCTGAAGATGGTACAGCGCACTGATTTATTTTAACAAAAGTCTAAACTCTTGCCTTAAGCACACCCAGATGCTGACAAATAATTCCACGCACATTGCATAGGAATGCGTTGTATGGCGACAACAAAGGGGTGAAGTATGGCCGAACGTCTGGTTATCAAAGATGGAAAGGAAGTACATATCTCTCCTGTGGAACACGGAAAGGCTGGCTTATCTGCCTCTGTGCTCGAGACTGGTAAGATTGGCGTTAACCAGATTAAGGTCATAATATCTACGTATGTATGTGTATCCCCCTGCAGCGTAAATATTTTCACCCATCTAGTTTCACGGTCAGCAAACTCATTCAATGAGTCATTAAAAATCCAGCCTATTTGTGTTCATTACGAATTCCCACCAAACACAATAACAAAATTTGAGAAATAAAAAATTGCATCTCTGTTCATTTTTCAGATTTTATTTTTACATCTGTAATTTCTGAGTTCAATTTTTTTATAAGTTTTATGAAATTTTATTAAAATTTCTGAGCACAAGCTTTTTATTTTATTATAAGAATGTAATGATAAAGGTGTGGTAGCTCAGATGGTTAGCGCTCGCTGTAAATTTCGCAGTACGCGAGCAAATCGGGTTCGATACCCGCCGGCACCAATGAAATTGTTAGTTGCAATTTTAAGTGCTGATTTACCATATGCTCGGCGGTGAAGGAAGATATCGTGAGTAAACCTGCATGTCTGAGAAATAAAAAAAAAGTTTAAAGACATGTGAAGTTCGCCAACAAGCATTGGCGCAGCGCGGCGGACACTTCCTTACCCTAATACCACATTACATACCTAATACCACAAAACAGAAAAGAGGGGGGGCCTGTGTCCAGCAGTGGGACGTATATAGGCTGTAACTTTTAATGATAAAGGTATATCGAAAATATAATACACAACCGGGGACAACTTCAGGTAGTAAACGAGACGTCACCACGTTTGAATCGCTCACGTCATTATCATCACAATTTGAAATTCCCAACACAGATTACACTTATCCTTCGCTTTAATGTTGTATTCTATTAAACATTATTTCCTTAGCTATTTATGAAATACTGTAACTTTTCCACGATTATTTTTTTAGTAAATGTTTGATCAAATCTATGCTAATAGAAATGAGTTTTTTATATGCTAGACTTACCCGATGATAGCAAAACTCCAATAGATTACGTTATATACAAAGTCGTTAAATTTACAAACGATGGGACAGTCAAAGCGACAGCAGCACAGGCGCGCCCGCGTGAGCACGGAGCTGCCGGTTGGCGGAGAGGTATTTTAAGATCTCTATCGAGACGAACTTTTATTCAAATCACTGATTCACACTAAATAATCACTCAGAATTAATGTTGTAGTACAATATATAAAGAGAGAACACGCATAAACAAGAGTACTGGGATACTCTTCACAACACTGAAATTTATCTAAGAAAATTTAACAACTTAAGAAGTAGCAGCGAGCAGACATTACCTGTTGACTGTTTTAAAATAAAAACCACAGACAGTCTATTTCCAGAAGTGACACGCGATCAGTCCGGAAGCGACGGCGCAGTGTGGGTGCAGTGTGGGGAATTTCGCTCAGTGGACGGTTCAATGTAGAATGCACGTGGTCGGTGTAGTGGACGGATCTGTGCACTCTCTACTCGCGTACTTTGCAACTGCACACCACCGCGCGGTCCCGACTGAGCCGCCCGCCCGCCGATTGGCAAAGCGCCAACCGTGCCTCATTGCCTCATGCTCCAATATATTTATAATCGTAGCTCGTTGGTTTAGTAGTCGTGAACGCAATTGCTGATCATGAGGTCACGGGTTCGAATCCCGGGTCGGACCAAAAATCAGTTTTTGTGTCAAGACATTCTCAAGAGCAGCTCGAAGTTAGAAAACACGCAAAGCCGTTGCAACGTTGTCCTGCGCCGTTCCTCCTGTCGGTCCTGTTCCGTCGGACTATGATAATGAGGGAATAAGGGATGCACATGTGCTTACGCATATCGCTCGGACACTATAACCCTGTGTGACTTTATTCGGTCGTTAAAATGGAGCACATTATTGTCATTAATCGTGGCTCACTCGCTAACTATCTGACTTACACCAAAAACTTCGCGAATGCAATCAGTGTAACTTATGATGATAATGATGACTGTCTGATTGTGAAGATGATTGAGCTGCGTAGAGCAAGTGGTGGAGCGCAATAACCGCGGGAACTATTTGAGGCCCGTTAAACCCACCGGTAATAAATAGACGAGGTCGATCACACAGCTCTAGTATTACAATTGTGCCTCGGTTCGTTTCTCCGCACATGTTTTTATACCACATGAAATATTTATATGCTAAAAAAACATTTTTGTTTTTATCGATTTCAGAGTGCAATAAATCGCTTTTCAACACATAAACTAGCTAGTTGTTTTTGGTATCGTTTAAAAGATGAAAAGAAAACATGTATTCTATAACTAGTCTCCGGTTTTAACTAGTATGTTACAATGAAGAAGTGGACATTATGCGACTAAAATGTAGATAAAGTATGACATTTGACAACACACTTACTCACTTGCACATTTTTGCAGACTGTGGCGCCGCGGCTAAGAGACTTTCGTGAGAGAGAGAATCCATGGTTTGTAAATATTATTTACAATATTTGTAAATAAACTCTTTTGTAACAAAAAAGGGTACCTAAACAACGAAGCAATTTTATTGTTACTATTACGCCGGCAATACACGTTGGCCAAGCCTCAGCCTACGACGAGCGTAGGCAAATTGATACCAGGCGATCCAGTCTACACGTTGGTAGTTCGAAAAGACCAATTCCATGGCCAATGTTCACGAGTTTTTGTGGAGCTATCTACATGTTGGCCGTAATTAGTTGTCATTGAGAATTGGGACAATATGAACGACGTAGAAATTATACTCCCTCCTTGTCCTAGACATTCTTAACAATTGTAGTAAGCCGCATTCCATGCCAGCATCACAATTTATCCAAGCTCGCTAAAAAAAAATTTTTTAAAGCAGTATATCTGGCAACACTGTATCAACCCTTCCGTCAATGCAACTTCATTACGTTTTTTTGTGCCAGCCATCACGGTGTGTTTTATAATTTTTGTTGTAAAAATTAAATATGTTTAGTGTAAAATCAAATATTTTGTATCCAAAACCTACTACAAATAAATTTATTACGTATCTGCGTGTTAATAATTTGATTATGTACTTGGGAAAATATTCCAAACCAACCGATCAAAGGTAAACAAAAATCCTGTTGTTCGAGGTAGGTGCACGTGTATATAAAATAAATAAAGTTAAAACATTTATTAAATAATAAAATCAGATTCACTGTGCCCATTTATTAACAAGTATGATAAATTATCGAACAAACTCGTCACTCATATAATATGAAATAGTAAATAGGTATTTTAACCTATAAATGTGGGTTGAGATACATTGTACAGAGATACGTTGAGAAATTTTAAGTGATATATATTAATGTCTTTTAATTTCATTTATTTACGTTGGGCAGCAGACCCGGAAATTATACACCCTGAGATTACAACTAAACTTTCTTTAGTATCAGAAAATCCTGATTATGCAAAGAAATAAGCGCTATAAATAAACTTAACTCATGGTTTTATTAAGGTTATGTAAACCTTTAACGTCCACAAAAATTGGCAGAACAAGTTAGAAATAATAACTGAATTCTGGGACAAAATTATCCAGTGTGTAAGGGAGAGTCCGTTTACTAGTCCTTAAAATTGTTAATTACCAAACAAATGGGATTTAATAGATGCATTTTTAAATCTAGACAGTATATTATTACATATTATTTTGTAGACACATAAAATAAAAAATAAAAAACTACATAATATGACACTCTTCTATCAGTCATTTTGGTATTGGTAGGCCTATGTGCAGCTGTGGATTTTTATAGACTGCAATGGATGGATGGATAATATGACATGAAAGTAAGAAAAAATGTGATATAAGAACTGTTTTACCTTGATATGGAATATCAAAAGGTTACAAGTTAAATACACTTAAAATATAAGTAAGCAAAAAGTGAGTAAAAAATAGCATTTAGGCTGTTTAGAAAAATCTGAAAGATTGACCAAATTATTATTCAATTATCTCCTTGTGATATATTTGGCTCCACACTTTGTCAATGAAACCAGATTTGACAGATATGCAAAACAAAAAGTATTGTAAGCATCAGATTGAATTACAATAAATTTGTTAAATTATTAAAAGAATAATAAAAAGACAACAGATAGCCTGTAAAATGTTTCATGACTTAGATTATTGTCAATTTTTAAAAAAATAACAAAATATAATTAAAAAACTCAGTAAAGAAGACAAACAATAAATTATTATTATTGAGATAGTAAAACAAATATAATATAATAATTATTATATAACAATTAATATAATAAGACGAGAAAATAATATAGAGAAATTTCTGCCAATTAAATAAAAATAAAAATCTAGACCATAATTAATTAATTGCCATAGCACATTGCATTCGAGCTGTATTATGTAATTTAATATAACCTAAGTTACAAGGAAGAAAGAAGTGTTTAGCATCATTAGGTTTTAAATAGAATGATGAGTTGCAAATGCATTAATGGCCTACAGCGGTACATAAAATATCAATCTGGGAAAATATAAAACTTACATACTTCACTAATTAAAACAGTGGTAAATTAAACAATTAAAAAGAAATTTAAAAATAATTATAGGAAATAATCTATTGTAAGATATTAAAAAGTTATGACAATTTAAAAATTAAGTAATATGTGAAGTAATAATTAAAAAATAAAATAAAGATGGATTTATTCAGAAAAATTAAGTATGGTATCATTCATACCTATCATGTTATTATTATCACCTTCATAACTAAAACTAGGTATGGTAAAAGCACAATAGAGTTATGCTGACAGATGAATACACTGATTGCCAAAATATGTTAGCAACAAAATAAATTGTTGTAGTAAGAGGAAATTATGTAAAAATACTTAAGAACTATAAAGATTTTATGATATAAATAGTGACTAAATATATTGTGCATAACCCATTTTGGTTGCTATTAGTAAAATGAGGTTAATAATGTTGTGCTTTAAACCTTATTATATATAATAATGTATATATAATGTTATGTAATATATATTCAGTGGAAAATTAAACATTAAACGCATAAAACCGTTTGAAATATAAATTGACACTTCTCAACTGGATGGAGAGAAACCAATGGAATGAGACAAAATTTGGGTTTAGTCCTTCATTGCGAATAAATTACATAGATATTATTCGATATTAAAGTAGTATATGCTTATATTTTTGGGAATGATAGAATACAATACAAAACTTTGAGCAAAACAATATAGTTATAATGAATAGTAAAATTACTACAACTAAATAATACTTATGTTGTACAATTTTACCCAGAGTTGATAAAAATCCTGCTTCATATATTAACAAGATAGAGAGGGTTCTACTCATTAACTATTGAGGACTCAATACTTTAAATTAAATAAAAATATGGAAATTTAACATACAATCCAAAATTGAGCCAAGTAAACAAAAAAAACAGTCAGAGGAAGTCTTTCAAGTCTATTCAACAAGATCATAAAGCAATGTCAAAGCTAAAACTTGATCAAATTAGTAACGAAAAATAATAAAATTATTATATACTTAACAATGGGGTTCTGTAGGCATGACCCAGAAACCATGGCAGTTATATTAGATTGGGGGACGATTCTTCTTTTATTATTATTATTATTATTTTATTCTTTATTGCATCCCTAAAACAAAAGAATACAAAGGGCGGACTTAATGCCTTGAGGCATTCTCTACCAGTCAACCCATGGAGTGGTGAGAATTTGATGTAGGTGTGGCAATAAGAGAACACTATACAAATGATAATTAACTACATAATATATACAAACTACTAATAAATAAACTATACATATATGATCTATCCTTACATATATACAAATATATAAATAAATGGATATACATACAAGTATATATATTATTTAAATACATACATAATTAGTATATACAATTAATGACTATGAATATATACGTCTGTTTGGCAATACATATTAAATTGATGAGTCATGTAAAATGCATTGTCTTTAAGAAATGATCACGGACCAACTTTTTAAAAGCGTACTTATTGGGAGCTTTTCTGATGTCATCGGGCAAGGAGTTCCAAAGGCGTGTAGCCTGAACTGTGAAGGAGTTACCATAGAACTCGGTGAAGTGAACTGGAGTACAGATTTTGTTGTTAGAAGAAGAGCGTAGGACCCTATCATGAGTAGAAAGATAATGAAATTTACTCTTAAGATAAGAAGGCGAAGATGGATCATTTAATATGGAAAAAAGTACAAGTAATATTCTGGAGTTGCGCCTCTGCCGGATTGTAAGCCAATTTAGCTTAGATCTGTATTGAGAAATATGATCATACTTACGAAGCCCAAAGATAAATCTTATACAG